CACATATATACAAAAGCTAATAAGTTACTTCTGAACTGAGTAATTCAATTGAAAAGAATACAAGACTCACTAGTTAAGGAATTGAATCTTAAGATAGAAATATAAGTTCTCATACATAATAAGAGTTCTGAGAAGTTTCAATCTAGATGATTTGAGTCATATAAAATACTCAAATCACATTCTCTGAGAATATATGCATTGAAAGAACTAGAGAAACAGATCTTACACAACTTAATCAATAGTTCATAACTTATAAAAGTAAAGATGTAAGATCTGAGTGAATTATAATTATCTACAGCACTATTATCAGTATTGAAAAAGAAGAGACTTATAATTGAAAAGTCTTACAAAGTAAGAGAAATCATAGACACTTATAAACTAGATAATCTTACTTATTCTGATCTTTTCATGATTATAAGAAAAGAATGAGAAGAAATGAAGAAATCAGATAAATATCATACTTCAATAAGTGATGAGACTGTAGTCAGTTATATAATAACATGTCACAGATAGCAGACATAACACAGTAAAAAGCAGTCTCAAAGCAGCAGACTTACACATGAGTCAGATCACAGAAGAAAAAGAAATTCAGAGTTGAATTCAACTGTTTATATCAGTTTAATCACAGAGATTACAGAGAATGAACTATCTGAAACATTCACAGACATGTGAGACTAAGTCATCTTAATCTCTAAGAATACTTAGAGATTGAGTGAGATTAGTTTTGATAAGCTATTCACTGTAGTGATCTGAGCAGGTGAAGAGAGACAGTATAATATATGAGATAGAATCACAAAAGATAAAAGCTGTCAAATCTAGTCACTGAACACTGTATTATATAGAGATCATATAAGAGTAGTGACTAGCAGATAAAGAGAAAAGTATAAGAAAAGAAAAGAGATAATAAATTAATTATCAACTGTAAGAGTTGACTGTAAAAGATAAATGTTATCATATATATCTCATTCATTTTTATATATCACATATTTAATCTATTTTCAATGCTATGTCACTCAAAAAATGCCAAAAACAAAGGAAATCTCAAAACTCAAGATTTACAAGGAATTCAAAAGCTGTAAGTCACTCTTATAATAATACTATGCATGTCTCTGATTTCTCTACTGCTCTGTATATAACATTAATGTCATTTATCACAAGATTGACTGAAATACTAATATAGAAATGCGCATGTGTATATATAGAGAAATTGAAGAAGAGTGCAGAACCCGCAGAATCAGAAGCTAGAACAAAGAGAACAGAGATGAAAGAAACAGAAGAAGAAGAAGATGCACAATCAGATGAATAATAGCAGAAGTCACTCAGAGCTGAACACTTATAACTCAGTGTACACACAACCTTTTTCACAGAGAAGAAAGAGAAAGTGATAGAAGAAGCTTAAGAGCAGAAGAAAGTAGTCTCAGTGATGTTATTATCTTTGATTAAAATAATCTCTGATGCTGAAGCAACTAAGAACTATTATTAGTATACAAAACTATAAAAGCAGAAGTAACAATTACTGAATAAACATCTGCTGACCTTAGAATTGTACATGCAATTACAACACACATGAAGCTTCTCAGAAAGAGAGAGAAGAACATGAAGAAATGCAGAAAGCAGAATGCAGTATATGAACAGCTTATTCTCATAATAACATCTCAGACAAGACATACAAGTCTCACACTCACAGGTGTAAAAGAGTATAATATTCACATTTCTGTTTCTGAAAACACAGATATCTTTCATCTGTATCATGAAGTCAGATAACAGATATCAGAGAATAGATTAATACAGATCTATTATTCTGAAGAAATTTGTTAGAGCAGATATTCTCATAATATTGAACTTTACAGTTGTGAAAAGCTTCTTGATATCTGTGAATACTATGACTTTATACACAGTAAAATCTATAACAATTTTCTCTAAGAACAGAAAAATCAGTGTTAGAAAGAAAAGATGAAAAAGAAAAAGACTTACAATCTTGATACTGTTAAGAAGAGAGATGATTCTCTGATATAAATAAATAATTATCTCATCATAAATATTTAAAATGAATATAATAATTGATATTTATAACTGAGCTTCAAATAGTTGTGTTGTATACAGTCTTTATACAATAAATTATTCTGAAAGTCAGCAAGAAGAGTAGAAGTATATACACTGAGAGAGATAATTCATTAAGTCTACATAATATCTTCTTGAAACAGGGAGAGCTGATAATAAAAGCAGAGACAGTAAAACCAGGAGTAGTAGAAGTAGAGATCACAGAAACAGAGGTAGCAGAAGCGGGAGAATCAGACACAGAGACAAGTGTAGAAGATTGAGAGAAAGCAGCAGAGAAAGAAGCAGTAGAAGAGATAAGAGAGAATGCAGAAGATCTAACTACATATAATACAGATAATTTCTTCATTATCACATTCTCTAAGTTCTCAATCAATGATTTAATACTGAGTTTACTATTATCAGTGAATGCAGATCTGTCAACATGTGAAGATTCTATATAAATAAAAACAACATATCAGTATCTGCATTTATATAAAATCATGTCAGAAAACATGATCAGAAACTCACTGAGAAGAAAACAGTCAAGAATGTATAAGAAGATAAAGAAGATATGTCATTCATAGTAGTACATTCTGATGATTATTAGAAGATAAACAAGTTCTAGTCATATTTCACAATGCATTACACTTACTGCTAATGAACTGCTCAGTATGAGCACTATGAGAACACTTGTTATAGAAATAGAAAGTCATTGCCAGAAATGCATATAATGTGATAGATGAACAGATGAAAAGAATTGAACAGAAGAAGAAGTAGAAATCTTGAATAAGATAATAACATTTGATGATGATAATGATGAAGATGATAATTGAAGAATGAGAAAAGTTAGTGAATGAGTGATATAATATAGTGAAAGTTTCTTTGTAAGAGTGTATGCAGAATGCTAGCTGAATCAGAAATAGGTCACATAATCATGAAATGCTAGTGGCGAGCTAATCCACATGAAGCTAGAGTGTATGACATGATCATGTGAGTGTGACTGAATCTGGTGGGGAAGGATGTGGTTCAGAAGAATGTATGACTGTTGAATAATAACACGGCTGCTTCCGAACTACTAGTGTATGAATGTAAAGAGGGCCATAGCAGCCACTAATTAATTTAGCATACAATATTACAATATATAAGAAGCCGGCGTACGCCTGTAATCGTACGCTGGCTTAAGCAATCTTTGAATCACAAGAATCTCAACAATGAGATTATGAAGGATTTGAGATATGCAAGAGAAACTGCAATCTGTTAATTAATTACTATGAAAAACAAGCTGTTCTTCTTGTGAATCTGTGAGATTTTTGCAGTGAATAGAGCTTGCTTTCTTTCTTAATATTTGAACATCTCTATAATGCTGTGATAATGTATATTGACTGATTTCATATTTTTTAACAGTCTCAGTGTAATTAGAAATCAATTGCACATTCAAATCATCAATTGCTGCTTGTATAACTGCTTTATGATGCATGTTGTGAGTGTTTGAAGATGAATGAAAAAATGAAGATTGAGCGGGCGTTGAGTGATTGATTACATTAAGTATTTCTTATAGAAAAATAGTTTAAGTCTATAGAGAATACTTAAGAATGTTCTTCACTGAGATTAATTTATTTATAAATTCAGAGAATTTCTTTATTATAGATATAAAGAATAATATTCTATAAATAATTAATAAGTTCTCTGAAACTTCTTTTATAAGAATTATTCATAATTTAGATAACTGCTTCTGAGTATCTACAGTAGAGTTTACAGAGATTAAAGTATATAAGTTTCTAGTTCTTTTAGTTATAATAAGCAGTTACTGACTGATAGAGCTTGAAATATAAGAATAAGTGCTTATAGATGATTATTCAGATATTTACAGCTTGATATAATATATACTGTTAACTACTAGAAGTATTCACAGTAGAAAGATAAAATGTAGAGATTAAATATATATAGTATTCAAGCTGAGTTATAAATAGTAGTCACAAACTCTAGTCTATATAGTTGTGTGTAGCCAAGGGCTGCTAACCCTATTGGTTACGCAAGAGATAGGAATAGGGGTAAAGGATCCGCGAGGAGCGGGATTCTTACAATTGATGTTTTGAAACATCAAAAACCGACAGGGTTTTCATAGAGATTGCTCTTCAACTCACAGGTTGGAAATCTTCCAAAATCAAGAAGATTAGTGCATAGGGCTAGGTCTCTTCACCTTACAATTTGTATGGCAATTTGACCCAGGGTTGTGGTGTGGTAGGGGTGGACGGGGGAAAATCCCACGCGGGGGTTTCCAACTATGTTTGGTTGAATAACTCCACCACCAGACGGGCTATGCAGTCGGCGTTGGGGTCAAAATGCTCATATGATCGAGGGCTGTTCGATGGATCTATCGGCGGTTTCTTATTCGAAAAATTGAGCGAGTTCGTGGTGGAGCGGTTGGAAATCACACTGTAAAAGCTGTCAAAAGCATGATCATGCTCATCAGACTGTATATGTGAGACTGCATCTCAAACTGCAGCTTATGTGACTCTATTCTGTTCTCAGTACAGAGATATCAGACATGAACTTCTTCTGAACAACAACTTAGACTACAACAGGCTATTGAGAACTGCTCAAGAAGTTCACATTTTGACAAAGTGATGACTCAGACAACACATTCTGTCTCAATTTCATCTGACACATAATCTTATTTTGAATATATAGTTCAAATGCTCCATCCCTGGCTGTCATCAGAGCCTCAAGATAGTATAGATATAGAGAAGCATGGAGGAAAACTGTGTATGTGATAGTATAGCAGCTCTGTATGGCCTCTTTAAGGCTCACAGTGGATAATTGAATTGAATTGAATTGAATACTTGATTGACATTTTATTTCATACTTAAGAGCAGGTAAGTCGAACAGGTATTCTCAGTGCTGAGCCCCTAGTGCACTAACTTGTTGAACACTACTGTACCTCGCCCTCAGACGAGGAGATACCAGCGTACATTCTCCCGTACATTCTCATTATCTCACATTGTTGCATAACCTCAAAGGGGCTCATTCTTTACAGGGAAGTAGAATAACTCATACACCCCATTCCATACATCGACGTATCCATCAATCCGTCCTATTCATTCAAACACACACGTCTTGTTAAAAACGCCGGGAACCTTGCTGTTTGAAGAAAAAGAAAGAAAAAAAATTAACAAAATTAAGATGAATAATGAAATCCAATCCAAACACGCGCCCCTTTTAAACGAAAATAAATAATAAGGTAACTGCCACAAGCAAGCGCCTCTTAAGAAAAATATAAAGTAAAATAAAAAGACATTAAATAACTCCTTTTCCATTTTATTCTTTCTATTTCCTCTTCCCTTTCAATTTGCTGGTGGCCGGTGCGCTTGACGAGACACTGCCAGCTCTCGATGTAGCAGTGGATGTAGCTCTGCTGCCACTGGCAGATTGGACAGCTTTGAGTTGCTTGTTCTATTGTTTCGACTCGTTAGATAGTTAGGTTCATATAGATCGCGGGTGGAACATAAAAATAAATAAATTGAGACTTACCACAGCGCCGTTTTTAGTTTTCTTCTTCGCGGGGGCCTCAACCTCTTCATTCTCGACGTCATCGTCGCGATCACGGCCACGGCCCTTACCGCTGCCCGTATCGCCATTGGGAATTTTGCCTCCATCAACTTCAAATTCCTTTGCGACGGTGTTTAGTAGAGTCGTGCATCGTCGACCAATCTCAACGGGTGTCCGGCTTAGGAAGAACCAGTCGAAACGAAAGAGCGGGCTTTCCCTGATTTCCTCTCTGATTTTCTCGTAGAGGCCTTCGCCATCGACGCCGTGCCTATCCAGCATCACAAGGAGGAATCTGTCTTCCTCTTCCGTGTATACCTTCTTATTTGTCGTGGAGACGGTATAATTCACTTTCAATTGTTGGAGGGGGACGCGGTACATTTCCATTTTCTTGCGAAGCATCTTGCGTTGGTGGTTCATTTTGCGCATCTTTTCTTCGCCTTGCTCGATGACACGGATATATTTGGGGTAATCTTGAATTTCGGTATATCGCTTCCAAAAGACCTTTGCATACTCTTTGATTTCATCTGGGTCCTTGCTGTCCACTTCAGTAGCAATCTCGGTATAATTAGTGCGACCGAATTTTGCGGACCCGTTGATAAACTGTTGAAAGTCTCTTCGATTCCAATTACCAAAGCCTTCTTCGGACAGGGCGGCCTTTTGTTCCTGTTCCTCTTCCGTTAACGGAACAGCATTGTCAATTTCCTGTTGTTCTAATTCTCGCTCTGCTTCTCTATCACTCAGTTCCTCGTCAGGCCCGTCAGGTAGGACCGCCTTGTATCCAATCTCTTTATGGAAGTAGGCGGTTTCTTTTTCCTGTAACTCCTGGAGTTTAGGCGGGAAGAACTGCCAGTCGTGGACGGCAATTTGTTTCGGTGCCCGGGGGACTTTAGGCTTTGGATCAGCCGTCCTGCCTCCAGTAGCCAATGCCTGTCGATAGTACTGGTCCATCGAGTACGATTGTTCTTTCCGTTCACGTTTTGCAGGGTTGATCCAGTTGATCCCGATGTCCTTCTTTCGATTAGTGAAGTCCTCACCGTTCCACTCATACGCGTTATCGGATGTGAACTTCTGAAGGTCATCGATTCCGAGTTTCTCGTATTTCTTATTCAGCTCCGCGGTGCGTTCTTCGCCCTTTCTCAAAATTTCATCGATATCATCCTCTGAAATGTCATTGCCTTTTGCCAGAGCCCCGGTTGGGCCTTTGGTGCTGAAAACGCTAGCAGCACCGTGTTGGATCATGCTCAATAGTTCGTCCTTAGACGCCGCATTCTTCACTTGCTGTTGAGCACGCCCCTGTTGGATAACTAGTTGGTCTAGCCTCAATTTTTGTGCTGCGCGTTCGAGGACTTTTTCTTCAATGGCATTTTCAGTCACAAAACGGAAAACAATAACTTGTTTCGTTTGGCCGATACGATGGGCGCGGTCCATGGCTTGTAAATCTGCCTGGGGATTCCAGTCGCTGTCATATAGGATGACAATATCAGCGCTGGTTAGATTGATTCCTAGGCCACCAGCGCGTGTCGTGAGGAGGAAAATAAACTTTTCCGAGCCGGGACGGTTGTATTCATCAATGGCAGCAATACGGTCTTCATGAGCAGTTGAGCCGTCAATTCGACAATATTGATGTTCGCGGAAAACACAGTAATCCTCCAAAATATCAAGAACACGGCTCATCTGTGAGAAGATCAAGACGCGGCTTCCTTGATTCTTCATTCGCTTTAAGATCTTATCTAAAATCACCATTTTTCCGGCGTTGTCGATCAGGTGCTCATCTGTGGTGTAAGGAGGCCCCGGTTCCGCACCCTCAAAAAGGTAAGGGTGGTTACAGCACTTCCTCAGTTGCATAACGATATTAAGAAGGCGAGTTTTTGATTCGCGCTTCCCTTGGGCTCCATTGACAGCATCGATATCCTTCTCTAGGATTTTCTGGTACCATTTTACCTGCATATCGGACATGCCCACGTACAAGTTCATTTCCTTTTTCGGCAATAAGCTCTTTTCGACATCACTCTTAACACGCCGGAGCAAAAATGGTCGGAGAACTCGATGGAGTTGCTGAACCACGGTATCCTGATCCGCTTCCTGATTGGAGAACCACTGGTCGAATGCGTCAGAATCTCCGAAAACATCGGGTAAAAGGAAATTGAGTAGAGCCCACAGCTCGTGGAGATTATTCTGGAGAGGTGTTCCGGTAATGAGGAGTCGATTTCTTGAATGGAACACACGGATGATTTGAGCTAGAGAAGATTCTTCATTTTTGATCCGATGGGCCTCGTCAATAATGATATACTCCCAAGCAAACTTTTTCAGATGAGATTTCTCCCTTAGAACCATCTCGTAACTCGTGATACATACGTCAAACTTCTCGTCAACGAGTCGTTCATTGATGAGTTTGTGGCGGTCCTCCTTTGCACCCTGCAGCACGAGAACGTTGACGTCAGGGGTCCACTTTGAGAATTCTCGATGCCAATTATCGAGGGTTGATTTTGGAACGGTAATGAGATGCGGACCAGTTATTCCGCGTAAGTGCCGTAGGTAGCCCAGAAAAGCAATTGTCTGTAGTGTCTTCCCGAGCCCCATCTCGTCGGCTAGAATTCCAGAAATACCATTTTCGTGAAGCGAGACTAGCCAGTTCAAACCAGCGACCTGGTAATCTCTCATTTCACCTCCCTTGACAAACGCTGGTGATTCGCGGAATACTGTCTCCGCCTGGCCACCTCGTTTCTCGTCTTTTAGGAGTTCAGCATCTTCTTCTTGCTCTGTTCGCCGCCGCCGTTCACCGCTGGCACCTCCTTTACGAGTGAGGCCTTTCCTGGAGTTGGCCTCCGCTTCATTCTGGCGATCTATCTCTGCCATAATTTCCTTTATGCGGGGATTTGGATTTGTTTCAATAAAGTGGCGGAAAAGATCAGTTAATCCTAGCAGGTAGCGAAATCTGCGGATCGAATCATCTTCCTACAAAAAATAAAAAAAAATAATGACATCAGAATGTATCTGATTTGAGGAAGACTTATTCTGCAGGGAGGAGAGGGTGAGCTGGGGCATGATTGACTTACCTTTGATTCATCGAGACGGCCATGTTTTCGTCCCAGCACGCTTTTCCGGAGTTGAAAGGCCTCTGATCTTCGTTTTCGTCCATCTTGTTGAGCTATATCGCCCGCGATACTACTTGCGGTCGTATTTGGGTTCGTATCGGAATCCTGGCTAAATGTTAGAGCGTATGGTCTAAGTGTTTAAAATGATATCTATTTTCGCGGGCGGCAAAAGTTGACAGAAGACATACCGTGTAGTCTGGAGTGTCCTGATAATCCCGGAAGTGTTAGCGATATTTTTAACATTGGATGACTTGAAGATAGTCATATATGGCCCGAGTGGGCTGTTTGAAAGGGGGGGGGTTAAAAAAGTTTACCACCATGCTTTGGTCCTCATCACGGGTTCCCTCCATAGTATTGGAAGGATAACCATTGGCATCAGCCATAGGAGTATCTGCCTGGGCGGGTGACTCCGACCCAGACAGATGAGAGAGCGAAGGGGCCATATGTGCTTTGCGAGCAGCAGGCTGCACGGCGCGGCGTCCAGCCAGGAACAAGGTGATATGAAAGGCTAAACGCGTTTCAACAACCACAAAGACAGAATGTGCTGAGAGCAGGCAACGCGGAGATGCAGAGAGATAGGAAGAAAGCGTGGCAGTGGCCGTGGCTGGCAGGGTTCATGTCATTAGTGAAAGGTTGAGGGTTCGCGATTGAAGATGGCAATGTAGTATCTGAATGAATCGCGTGGCTCTAGGTTGGAAGGGCTCGAAAAGACCCGGAGCCCTTTCACGCGCGCCGATTGGCCGGGCGCTGACTGACTCAGCGGGTTTTTCATGTAAACGGAATATCTATTGTCCGACAGTGCTTGTCATGTGGTAACTACGGCTTGGCGGGCAAACTCACCATCGAGGTACTCCTACAATCTGCCATAATTCCTCTTTGATATACCGCCTCCTCCCGACCACCTGTCCCCTTGGTTGTATGCTACTCTATATTGCATTCCCTTTCGGTGTCTGAGAGCAGCTTTCTTCTTCTTGTTGTTCCATCTGTTTTTTTCTTTTTTGCCGAGCTTGGAACCTTATTAAGTTCGTTAACTACCCACTTTATTCATTAGTCTTGGAAGGTTCATCTGATTTTGGGTTGCCGACGCAGACGAAGATATTTTTTTTTTGGCTGCACCCCAAACTGCCAAAACACCTCGCGCCATGGACTCGATGAGATCTCTCAATACGTCTCTGCCAGTTTCGTCGCCTCGTCCAAACTATGGACAGCCTCCTGAGCAGCTGCTCCAAGCGTTCAAAACTGCAGCCCTCTCCGTGACAAACCTCTACAAAACCGCCGTTTCTGACCAAGCAAATGCCCGCCAAACTGGATACCAAGAAGCTCTGGAAGACCTTCGCGCTTTTCTCGACAGGGAAAAGATTGGGTTGAGTGATGGGGAAGGGTCGAAAGTGCGATGTTGGGTCGCAGAGCGAATAGATGGAACCGCCGCCGCCACCTCTTCGATGGATAGTGACGATGAGCGAGGAGAGGTCGACAGCAAACGAGAGCGGAGTATATCCCCAACCGTCACGAGAAAACAGACTCCGGACGTTAATCATACATCCCAAGCACCTAGAGCCACCTCTCCCCCGCGGCAAGAAACCAGTACCCTCCAACCGTCAGCACCCCCTGACTTATCTACTACACCATCCAGACCAACCACCTTCACGTTCACCACTGGACCGCAGTTCCCGGTCCTTCAACAGTCCGATATCGACATGCAAACTTCTGAGTATGTGCCAGTGACTACTCCTGCATCCTTGCAACCGGATTCCTCCCACCTGCCACACTCGTCGACTATCAATAGCTCCCCAACCGTCAGGGTTGAAGTAGTTCCTCGAGGATCAAGAACCCCCCATCGACTCAATAACGGTAATCGACATAGCGCACGAGCGTCGGCGCGGGATCCCGTTTCAAACAATGGATCCAAGAGAAAATTCCATTTTGGAGATTTTTTTGATATCTCCAGTCTTGGGAACGGACGAGAGGCTTTTGGAGGCGGCAAGCGGGGCCGCTTTATCTGAAGTAATGGCACGCCGTCATTTGGGGGCATAATATTGGGTTAGACAGAATTCCTTGGGATGGGATGATAACGACGGAGCATTATTATGGTTTTCATTTACTTTTACTTTTTGTTTTGCTTTCTTTTCTTTCTGCTCTTTGCTTGTCTTGTTGTTCGACCCTTTTGTCATTTAGCTTAGTCTTTATCCCCACATCCCCACATACCCTTTCTTCTGGCTCATTGTCCCTTTTGTTTCCAACGGCCAACCCAAAGGTCATATCATGATTAGAAGCATTTACGGAGTCAGTATTCTAGCATTTTCATACATTACATAGATAGCATCCAATCAAGATACCCATGACCAGATGATATGAGCTCTTTAACTAAATTCATGTATACAAATCATATCCTCCATTCAGAGCCACAAGGTTATCTTATAGCCTCACAAGGAGACAAATGTTCCCATGGACATCCAGTCTCCCTGTCCTGTCATGCAACACAATCGTCTTCGAGCAACGTCCAACAAACATCGTATAATGGAGTGGTATCGCATTTCCTTTCGGTTTCAGTGAAGAGCACGCCATATCCCCATCCCAACCAGCGTCGCCGATATCGTCGCAATGCCTAGCCGTCTTGAACCCATTCTATACGGAGACTTGCTCTTCAGGATGACTTTTTCTTGCTTCGTGAGATTGTTCATGCCGGAGATGTAGCTATATACGCCGAGTCCGATAAAAGCCAAACTTCCTATAAGATTTTTTTTTTTTTTTTTTTTTTTGCCGTATTAGAATAAATTGCCTGTGCCTAGTTTTCTTGCGCATCCTCGCGAGGAGCTGGGGGGAGGAGGATGAGTACCCGTACCTGTAACCTTACAAGCAAGGCAATCATCCTGGTATTTTTCCTGGGCAATCGCCTTCTTCATATCCTTGGGAGTTATATCCCATGAAGTATCTTCTTTGGCCATGGTAGGCTTATCTTATTAGCTGTGGAAGCGTGAGGCGATTTGCACACTTAGAAGCGGGAACCAGGTAGGAGATCCTTTCGTCATATCATCGCTCCCTTCCTGTAGTTTTTGTTCTAACTATCCAAAGTTAATCAGCTGTACTGAACGCATCCCTAGAATAGGCAATGGATTAACTAGTTAATCATAGAGCGCGGAGAGGTGCTGGATCATACATACTTTTCTCCCAAGAGAGCTCCGAGCTGGTTGCGATTTAACACTCAACTTCTGCTCGTCTTTAAGATCGGCAGAGAGAATGACCAAACTCTTAACTTATGTAATCAATCCTACGCCAACAATCCCTTCCCCGCCGGAGCCTCTTGTTGCCTGTAGCTGATCCCCAAGCACCAAAGATACCGCAAGCTGCAACAATGAACAGCGCCATAGAAGCGCTTTATATATTTGATGAGCTGAAGTAAGTGATTCATTATCAAAAATTGGACTACAGGTATCTCTTTTTATTATCTTACTGACCAAGCCCGGCTTGAATTTCTAGTACTCCGATCCTTGAGCACGTCTACCGCGGCCGCCCACCTGCCGCCGTTACGCTACTCGGTCTCTTCCTCGCCCATCCCAGCCCGCGTCCTTCGCTGCTATATCTCTCCAACGCGACGCCCCCAACATCGGTCTTCTCCGTAACGCATTCAAATCTACTGTTCCTAATCCCCTCGAGTACGGAGAGCGAACCCCTCCTCGTTCTCGAATTTCTTCACCGCGTCATTGATGTGTTGGAGGAATTCGTCGGCGCCCCGCTCCTGGCGGGGAAGATACAGAGCAACTATGACGTTGTTGCGCAATTGTTGAATGAGATGTGCGATGGCGGTATTATTTGCAATACCGAACCGAATGCGCTGCAGGAAACCGTTGAGATTCCCGGGTGGATGGATAAGTTGCTTGTCGGGGTTGGCTTGCCAGGGTCAATATACAACCCCCTTGATCATTTCGGAGCTTTTGTTTTGAGTTTATGGAAGCTGTCGTTTGTCTGTTTTGGAGGTGATAGGCTGACCGGCCGCTGTATGAATAATAAAACAGTGCTTCACCCGCCCTTGGACCTTCGAATTCGCTGAAATCATCACTGGCCACTGCGGCGCATGTAAATGGAGCGTCAGCCCCAGCCATTCCGTGGCGACGACAGGGGGTCCGGCATACGTCCAACGAACTATACGTCGATATAGTTGAGTCTTTGTCCGTTACACTGGCTCCCTCGGGAAGACCTATTTCAGCACTAGTACATGGGACTATTGTCTTCACTGCGAAAATATCAGGGGTGCCCGACTTGTTGCTCTCCCTCGGCGCCCCGGGAGGTCAAAAAAACGTAGCCCACAAGCTTCAACTCCCCGTATTTCACCCCTGCGTTCGTCTTGCACGATGGAGGGAAAAACCGGGAGAGCTCAGCTTCGTCCCTCCTGACGGGCGTTTTGTGCTTGCAGGGTATGAAGTTGACCTACAGCCCATCGAACCTGACAAGGACAATCCACCTAGCCACATGGAGAAGCTATTCCTACCTGCTAGCGTAGACCTACAAAGGTCCCTGGGCCCAACCGGGGCCGAATTCGAAGTCCGACTTACCTTAAACACCAACTTCCCCGGCTTACCACCTAGGAGTGGATTACCCGGCCGGGGTTCAGGGACATCCACCCCATCATTCCTCGGAGGCAGCTCCAGTTCCACATCCAACGCCCCAACCATAGACGAAGTAGTAGTCACAGTCCCCATCTCCACCTCCGTCCGGAACCTCACAGATCTCCGTCCTAGCCGCGGCGAAGCGAATTTTACACCGGGCGGCGACACGCTCGAATGGCGCGTCCCTACAACCAGCAAAGACGCAGGCAGCCTCTCCGGCACCGCAACCCTGCGCTGCACGATAATCGGCCCGCTCTCCTCACCAGCCAACGAAGACGACGATGATAATACTAGATACGAATCCACACCGAGCTCCGCGAGAAAACAATACCGCACAAACCCCCTAATCGGCTACTACGACGACACCCTCGCCCACCAGCCCGAGAGCAGTTACCAGGACCTGGAACATGCCCACCACACCTCAAAACAACACTACCCCTCGTCATCATCGGGCCTGCAAGGCTCGACGACGACGCCGCTCGAGCGCGCGCGCAAGTCGCATATGGCGTCTTTGATGCCATCGTCTGTTTCTGTGTCGTTCACGGTGCGCGGGTGGCTACCGAGCGGAATACGGGTTGAAGGGTTGCTGGTTGATGCGCGGAGGAGCCGGGGGCTGGGTGAGGGGGTCAAGCCGTATAAAGGGGTTAAGTACCTGTGTGTTAGTCAGAAGGGGGTGGAGAAGAGGTGTTAGATTGTGGAGGTGCAAATTTTGGATAGGATAGGCCGTGTGGTAGGGGTATGTGGTATGGAAAATGACGTGGGAGTTTGGTTTGTTTATTTCTTGCCTTCCTTTAAAAAAAGAAAAGGAAAGATATTCATGACTGCTGCATTGGAACATAATCGAGAGCGGGTGTTTTGTCCTTTTGCAACGCTAATTACTGTTTAAGTGTTTGCTGTTCTTTTTACTTTGCTGGTGTAGGTAGGTAGGTATGTACTATACATATATCAATTCAATGTCCATGACCTACAGAGGGAGCACCGTTCGTTCTAGGTGATTAAATAAAAACCTGAAGAACGATTTAGTTATACTATGCGATATGGTTCATCAAAGATAATTTAAACCAACCTATGTAGGTGACTTACCACCGGAGAAAAGAGGTAGTATTGGTGTGATCCTCGGACGCCCGATCAATGCGATAGGAGCACATTCATTGGAAATTTGACAGGATCGAAGAGGGCGTACGGCGTCATCATCACAATCTCCCTTACGCCTCCCTCTTTGTCGAGTTCATCCATCTTTCTACTTTCTCCTGCTTTTCCTGCTTTCCCTCTCCCTCCTATGTGACTTGTATATTCATTCATAACCTCGGGGGTATGTAAAGTGTAGATAATTAAATAGTTGCCCCAAAAAGCCAAAAAGGGGGAAAGGCGGAATTCCGCCTTCTCTCCCTTCGACGCTTCCTTTCCCTTTCATGACTTTAAATTTTCGTTCACAAGTTCATCAGAACAATTTATTTATGGTATGTTTGTTAGGTATATATAGTACTTACATACACATATGTACCGAACAAACGAAAACGCGGATTGCACATAACTATGATTGGCAAACATAAGGTATGGAAGAAAGGTAATAAAAAACAACAATAGGAAGAGAACGTGCATGAAGTGATCAGTGTGTGTAAATAGATGAAGAGGAAAAAAAAAGAAAAGAAAAAAAAAGAAAAGTATAATATAAAGAAATAGATGAGTTTCTATACTGACTGTATAAATCTTCTTTTTTCCATCTTCATTCAAATTAAATATATGATAAGTGAATTCCTTATATATTGATTTGAAATGTGAAAAATGTAGTTAATAAGTGACTTACAGATCTCTTATCATATTTCTGTTATATATATGAAATTTCTTGTAAAAGTGATGTATTTTAGAAGTAAAGCTAACAGTAGTTGTTAGTGATTACTACACCTACTCTAGTCACATGTCACCTCAATCTATTCATTTAGTGTAACTCACATAGTTAGATTACAACACAACACAACAATGTTATTCTTCAAGAGGTTATAAAGCCCTCTATGCAATGAAAAGCTGGAAAATAACATGCAATTGACATCTCCACGCGTCATTACAAGCATGCCTAGATGATTTATTAATTAATTGAACCCATGATGAACCTGAGATCAGGTGAAAAGCCTGACTTAACAAAGAATTACATGTCAATACATAGAAGAAGAAATTTACAAACATCTGAAGTATAAGAAGAATTGAATATAAGCTTATCAATATCTGTAATAAACTGAAAAGTGACTGTCTCAGAGATATTTAAGCTGGATAAAATCATCACAGAGAAACAGTCTGATAAGTTTAATATATATAAAGACTCAGTTGAAGATATTAGTGAGATATCAGACAATATAAAGAGCTCAAGTGACTGAAATAATAATAGCTCAGTAAGTGAGAAGACTCACATGAGACTAGAAATTATAAGACTTCAGTATAAGATTGAGTAGATAAAAATCAGTAGAGATAACTCTGTAAATAATAAGATAAGAGCAGATCTGATAGAATATCTTCAATAGAAAGAGAAGATATCTATTATAATAAAAGTTCTTAAAGAATTCAGAAGCTAAGTAAGACTTATTAAAAAATTAATAGTTCTCACTGAATTTATTAACTACTTAATATGAAGAGAGAAAATTCTTTTAACTATAAAACAGTCTGAAATTAATAATATTCTTAAAGATAATAATCTTGATAAGAATATTATTATAAATATATAACATTTCTGAAAAGAATGCAATCTTTG